CAATGGCGAGGTACTCACAGAAAATCTTTTGAACATTAAAAATCTTTTTGAGCTTAATCTTCAATCCAACAAATTCAATGGCACTATACCACCCTGGGTTTTTTGCTTTCCTATTTTATATGAGTTGGACCTCAGCCAAAATGAGTTTACAGGGTATCTTCCTGAGATTTCATGCAAATCATCAGTAAGCATAGTTGATTTGTATAATAATCAACTAGATGGTTTGATCCCTTATTCAATTTCAAAACTGTTTCAAGCAAAGACCCTCTTCTTGGCATCCAACAATTTCAATGGCACTATACCTCCCTGGATTTTTATCATTCCCTCTTTATTCAACTTGGACCTCAGCAGAAATAGATTTACAGGGAAATTTCCTGAGATTTCAAATAAGTCATCATTAAGCTCTGTTGATTTATCTTATAATCAACTACATGGTTTGATTCCTCATTCAATTTCAAATCTTCTTGATGCAACTGTCCTCAAATTTGCATCCAATAATTTCAGTGGTGAGGTACCCATAGAAATTTTTTTGAACATTAAAGGTCTTACGGTTCTTAATCTTGGATCCAACAAATTCCAAGGACCTTTAAATAAAGCCATTTGCAACTTGAATATGCTTGAAGTTTTGATATTAAAAAACAAGTTCAATGGCAAAATTCCACAGTGCTTGGGTGAACTTAACCTACAATCTGTGTTGGACTTGGGAACAAACAACTTTAATTCGATTATTCCCACAATGTTTGTAAAGGGCAACAGCATAACAACCATAGCTTTGAATGAAAATCAACTTCGAGGACCTATTCCAAGATCTTTGGCCAATTGCATAAAACTAGAGGCTCTTGATTTGGGGAATAACAAGCTAAATGACTCATTTCCAAAATGGCTTGGAGATCTTCTAGAGTTACAGGTTCTAGTATTGAGATCCAATAGATTGTATGGACCCATAACCTCATCCAATTTTACGGTTTGGTTTCCCAAATTACAAATCTTTGATCTCTCTTGCAATAGTTTTACAGGAGTCCTCCCAAAATATTTTTTCAATGGCTTTAAAAGTATGGTCAATGTCATACAGGACAGCAAAAAAGAAGCAAGTTATTTGGAAATCAGTACCCGTAGTTGGTCATATGACATTTCAATCAATTTAACAATGAAAGGTCATGAGATTCAACTACAAAAGGTTTTGACCATCTTAGCTACAATTGATTTATCAAGCAACAAACTTAAAGGAGAGATTCCAATGCTCATTGGAAACTTGAATGCACTAATACTTCTCAACTTATCACATAACTGCCTCAATGGAAGTATTCCACACCAAATAGGGAACTTGACATCGCTTGAATCTTTGGACATCTCTTGGAACCAGATGGTAGGGAAGATCCCGGAGCAAATTACAAATTTGAAATTTCTTGAGGTGTTAAACTTGTCACAAAATCATTTGGTTGGACACATTCCTACAAGTTACCAATTAAACACCTTTGAAAATGACTCATATGGAGGAAATCTTAACTTATGTGGATTTCCGTTGTCAAGAGAATGCAATGACAACAATAGGTCAAATGAACACCAACAACATGTTGAGGCAGTGGAAGAAAAATTCAGGAGTGGATTTACTTGGAGAGTGGTAGTGATTGGGTTTTGTTGTGGAGTGGTATTTGGAATCTTCATGGAAAATATCATGTCTCGGACGGGAAAGCCAAAATGGATGTTTGTGACTTTCTATGGGAATAAGATACGCAAAACCCTACCAAGACAAAGAAGGAATGCTCGAAGATGCTAATGTTAAAGGGATGAATTTATTGCTTTTTATAAAATCGTCATGAATAATGTGAGGTATGCCTTTTTCTCGCTAGCTTGGATTCCCTTTTTACCTATTTTTGTTTTCCGCATTACTTTGGTATTGTTGTATTATTCTGGTTACCATTGTACTTGATTTATCACTTAATAGAATTCCAAACTTGAGTGTGGCATTGTTAATGAAATGTAAAAACTACATTAATGGAAACTATAATGAAATATTTCTTCATATATTCAGATAACATAACGTAATATATATGACAATATGTTTCGTTTATTAATATTGCAACATAAATTATATGAAGATATACATGATCTAGAAGTGTGCATATGCTTGGTTTAGAGTATGATGAGATAGGTAGGTCACTCACTATAAGTCACTACTACAAAACGCACCTACCATGGCGATTATTTTTATCTCTTTAATTTATTGTGGAAAAATTGTTCCTATGGTGATTATAGAAGTGGATGCTGAGAAGTCAATTATTGTATACATTTTAATAATCAGGAAAAGAAAATCATTCAAGTTAACACAAATCAATAATCTATATATCAATAATCTATATGTAGAATATAATGTTACTTTCTAGGTATAGAATATAAGGGGGTGGGGGAGGGGGAAATTACCGCACTGAGTGTACCTTAGTATCTAAAAACATAATAAGTGCCAATACAAGTTATGTCATTGATTTTTGTTCCTTTTTTATATGCTAATAAATATATACATGTTGCTTTAATTGTTGTACATTTGATTTGTATTGGACAAATAATAAGTGCCAATACAAGTTATGTCATTGATTTTTGTCCCTTTTTATATGCTAATAAATATATACATCTTGCTTTAACTGTTGTACATTTGATTTGTATTGGACAAAATTACCCTTACACCGTTATAACATCGTTAGTATTTAATATGTCCACCAATCTTACCATACACCTACATCTATCATATCTTTTTCCTATTTTTAGTTATCATTTTATTAAAATTATCATATAACAATTAATTTAATTATAAATTATATTTTAATTAAATAATTATATGAATATTAAATTTTAATTATAAATAATATGCATATATATTATTTGTGTATACATATCAATATATCAATATATGTGGGTGTTAGCTTAGTATTGTTTTTAAATTATTATTATTATTATTATTATTATAATATATATATATATATATATATATATATATATATATATATATATATATATATATATATATATATATTGTTTTGATCACTATATTCAAATATATGATAATTCAAAAGTATCATCACTTTAAGGAATTGCGAAACATAATTTTAACTCATTTTTTAAATTTTGTTACTTAACAATATTTTAATATTGGACATAGGTTTTCGCGCAATGCGCGTACAAAATACTAGTATTAAAAATATACCTTGAATCAATGATCTGTCCACATTACAAGATAGATCATACATGGTCCATGATATAATTTGCCTTTAAATTTAGTAGAAACTTTAATTTTTGTGCTTTCAATTCTTAATAAATAATTATCTCAAAGACAGAGAGATGTGCAACATAATTCCATACAAAATAGAACAAGTTTAAGATATTTGCTATGTAATTAAAAACTTTGATATTTTCAACACTAATTAGTTAAGATTTCAATATAGTATATAAAATATCTTATTAAAAAATTAACTTACTAAATCTTCTACAAAACAAAAGTTTAAAAATATTAAAAATCTATTCACCCTCGACCAAACTTTTATTCATCCAAGACCATCAATACCCTAATACTATTTATTTCAAACTATGTTTAAAATTTCATATTCTAAACTCGTAATAAGATTAATGAGTTTTTCGCACTTTTGGTCCCACAACTATAGTGACCCTATCAAGATTGATCTATGACTTTCAAACCTTAATCTCGGTCAACGACTATTGTTTTTTTTTGTTTGTTTGTTTTTATTTTTTATTATTATTATTATTTTTTTTTTTTGCAAAAATGGTCCTTACGACCTATTTTTTCGTAATTTCTCACCGGAGTAAGAACCATTTCCGGCAAAAGTGGGTCGGAAAATTGACAGAAAATGAACCGGAAGGACCATTTTTGCAAAAAGACAATAGTCGTGGACCAAGATTGCAAGGTTTGAAAATCGTGGATCAATCTTGATAGTTCCACTATAATCGTAAGACCAAAAGTGCGAAAAACTCTAAGATTAATATTATACCGTACTTTGAATAATACCTAAAATTTTGACATATCATCTCATACCAAAAGATCATAAATTTGGTTATTATTCACCCCTTGTTGAGTTGATCATATATGATCTTTTTAGTACGATTTACCTTTTAGGTATAATTTGCTGCCTATTACACATGAACATAATTTACTCTGTGCATTGTGGGCTTCTCTCTTCACCCAAACAAAAAAAATGGCATATCACAAATCATATTTTAAACTAGGTTAGATTATACAGTACTGTCATTAGCAATGTTCTAACAAATGTTTGAATGCTACTATTTATTTTCAGGCTCGTGCAGTTTTAATAAATGCTGGCTGTCCAAGCTAATGCAGCCATGGAAATTGTTTTTAATTTCAATTTAGAAAGCTTTATGCTTGGTTTAAGGATCCCTGTTTTGATATACATGTACTTATCTTCAGACTCTACATAAAGTTTATCATCTTCCAATTTAATAAAAATAGTTTTTTTTTTTTTTTTTTTTGTTTTTAAGAAAAGACATATCACAAATTATATTTAAGGCTGGATTTGATTGTACAGTACTGTCATTATTATTATTATCAAAGGCATAGTATATACTACTTTATTGAGTAGAAAATCCTCTCCTTCTACCTTTGTCTTCTGCTAAACCTCGAGCAAAAACCCAACTAAATTGGAACCCAGAAAATGTGAACATGTATCCCTCACCTTGTCTCTCTCAGATCCTTGGAGTTCACTGCGTAAAAGGTTACTTCTTTCTCTCCAATTCCATATATACATTCCAATGTATTTCCTTGCCTCATTCTTGTGCCGCAAAAAAGTTTCTCGCTTTTGTTTTTCTTGATTACACGTACTGTTTAATACGTTCTAGTCTAGACTTTTGTTTTATTTCTTCTTTCTCCGGCCATATCTTCAAGAAGAAGTAGGAAAAAAAAAAAAAAAAGATTTTTGTTTTTCTTCTTTTGGTGAATGCTTGAGCTGTAAAGGAAAGAATATCCGCATCCGGGTGAGTTCAGAAGGGCAACGGCAGTTGCTTCTGTTGCAAAAAAAGGCGTCAAATTACATTCTCCTTCCTGAAGGGCCATGGCAGAAGGTGAGCAGCTCCATCTTTTTTTCCAAAGGTCTAATCTTTTTGTGTTAAGATTGTGTTATGGGTTCTATGTCAAAGGCCTGGCGGGTTCTATTGTGTTATGGGTTCAACTTAGGCTTGCTTTAAGGATCCCTGTTTTGATATGTGCTTATCTTCACATTATACATAAAATTTCTCATCTTCCAATTTAATAAGCATTATAAATAAATTATGAAGATCTTAAAATTTTAGTGGACTTTTGATTGATTTGTAGCTAAGAGTTGCAGAAGCTGTTTGCAGTGTGATGCGGGGTACGAGGGTGTAATGGAATGCTCAACTGCTCTAGCTAAAGTATGCAGTTTTTCCATTCTCTAGTATAGGAGAATTCTTATTCTAACCCATCAAAAAAAAGCTATCGTATCTTTTAGTACTTTGAATTCTAATTCTTTGGTATATGTTGTCATCTGCAGCAACAAGAGGCCCTTCATTCTCAACTCAATCCCAAAGCTAGTTAGTCTGTTGTCATCAATCAAGCATTGAGGGGTGCTTTACTTATTCCTCTGTTTCTCATACTTTTTTCTCATGGCTTTCCCGTTATGTCCTAAATGTGTTGCTCTCTCGTCCTCTTAATTCCAGGGCAAATTCTGCCGCTGTAGCAATAACTACCACTGATCTTGTTAGCAAATAGCAAGAGTGTTGTTATTGAGTCGGAATGAAGTAATTAATCTTATCTTCTATATTTATTTATTGCATTGCTTGCTACAGTAATTAGCGAGCTGAGCTGTTTGTTGCTCATATTCTGATCTGGAGGTTGGAGGAACATATATAAGAGTTGGTGGCATGGCAATTGGCAAAGGGTTCTGGCCGGGATCATCCATCCTAACATGCATGGCGACACTGCTTGGTACGTCATTTAATTTTGTATTCAAATTCTGCCCTGAATATAGTAGTTGCTACTATACATTTGCAAATAGAGAAAATTACACTTTTGGCCTTGCGACTATTGGGGTCTTGTTAATTTCAGTATTCGACTTTAAAAACTAACAATTTAGTCTCGTAACTATGCAATTTTTTACACATTTAGTCTTCCCAGCCAAATCACAGGTCAAATGTTACCAGAAAAACATAAATGTCTTTAAATTGGTTATTCACGAGGGTAAAATGGTCCTTTTACATTTTTTTTAAAAAAAGGAAATCATCGGATAACAATGCTGAGTAATTTCCGATCGCTTTCGAATAACCATTTGGGGAATTCATTGTCGTCGGATGCAAGAAGCCGAGAACAACGTGGCGATGGTCCAACAATTTGCGGCGGTGCTGTATAGGGTCGCCGGTGGTGCGAGCTTGGCGTCAATGGCTGTGTGACTTGTGTACACTCTACACGAGACAAGAAATCACACGTAAGCTTCCATGGCATTTGAGTAAATCTTTGCAAAGAGGAGGCCAATCCAATATACACACTGTCCCAAACTCTCAGTGCATATCTAGTTGCTTGACTATATACCAGTCACAATTTTCCGACGAGTCCTTGCTTCAGTTTTTAACCACAAATCTGAGTTTGGATGTGTTCTTAGCTCGTCGCAAATTAGATCATTTTCCGATTTCCTTCGACCGGCTTGCTCCTCTGATCGAATTGGTATTGCTTTCAGATCCCGTGTCTCTGTTTCTGCATTCGCGTCAGAGAACTCCGTTTAGCTTGTTATCGAATTTCTCCTTTTTCTGTGATTGTTTTTGCATCTATCATAAATCAGGTAAATGCATCATCTTTAGATCTATACGTATCAGTAAATTTGTATGTTTGTGGCCAGGTGCTGTTTGGCGACGGAGCCGCCGCGATCATCATTGGGTCGCCATTGAAAATGGTCAGAAGCAGAAATTCATGTGTGGTTCAAAAATTGTAACAACCAATTTGAAAATTTATTTTCTTTTTACTACTTATATATATGGTGAAGAAAGAAAACCAAAAAGAAGGAGAGAAGAACGACGGTGACGAAAATAAAAAATAAATTTGTATAAGTTCCTCCGATTCCGGCCAGCGGGTGCAAGGAAGAAGAAAGTGACTTATTAAAATGACCATTTTACCCTCATTAATAAACAATTTTAAAACATTTACATTTTTCCGGTAATTTTTGGCTGGTGATTTGGCCGGGAGGACCAAATGCGTTAAAAATTGCATAGTTACGGGACTAAATTGTTAGTTTTTAAAGTCGAGTATTGAAATTAACAAGACCCCAATAGTCACAGGACGAAAAGTGTAATTTTCTCTTTGCAAATATTTCAGGTTGTTACTACTGAAACCTCAGTTACAATTGATGTTTGGAGACGAATGGTATTGGTTTCTGTTAACCCAGCCAAGTTTTAACCAAATTACTATAACTAACAGCATTACCTTATCTACTTTAACTTGGCAAATTAAAGGAATAATACCGCTAAGATAGTAAGATTTTATCCGGTGCTCATCTATATGGCCCAGTTAATAGGCTTATTTAATTAAACAGCAAGCTAATGTTAATTTTTAATTCTCTAAATATCTACAATTTTTCAGCGATAAAGATATTTGTTATGATCCAATTTAATCTTGTATTACCTAAGCCGATCTTGTCAGGATTACTTAACTGCATAAAACATTCTAAACATCTCCATAAAGCACATGCTTCACAGGTAGATGGATGGAGATACCAGGCCAGGAATGATGTTGTTATCACTTTGGCTAGTGGGCTCTTAGGGACTGATAAGATCTCTTGTTTGAATAGCTCAGAGGCAAACCACCTATAGAGGTGTCTCAATATGATGCTGTATGTGAATCTACCACCTAATTTATTCTTATATGTTGTACAGCTCCCTCCTCGTACTTTCATTTTTTTATTTTATTATTTTGTAATGAACCAGCATGTAGTGTTTCTGTTACATTTTTCATGACCTTGGCCCCCTACTTCATTACACCAACTCACACATTAACTAATTCATTGGTGGTATTTATCTGAAACCTTGGTGCATTACAAATATGGTTATTTCCAGGTAATGTTAAGGTCTGTACAATTGTTAAAATGTTAAGGATACTAGTCGTACTAAATGTGTTTATCAAAGTAAAAAAAAAAAAAAAAAAAATGGTCCGTATATTGCTTTATGAGTTCACCTAGTCAATTGATATGATGCCAATTTTTTTCGTTCTTTTTAAAAAAAATAAAAAAATTTACTCCATTTTCCATTCTGAGCTATATGGGTATTTTTTCATAAAGATGTTTTTGTTTAAATGCTTGAAGTGGGCTCCTGTAGTTTCATATCTTGAGGGTTTAAAGAGAACATTTTTTTCTACAGGATCAAGCCCTAACCACTACGTCATTCGAGTCCCAACAAGAGGAAACTATGCAGTTAAGACTAGTAGGTACTAGGGGAGGGAAGGGGGGGGGGGGGGGTGATTTTTGGGCAGAGACGTGAAGAGTCAAGTCCATGTTACTTTTTAGTTGGAACTTTAGGCGGTTCTCAAAAAAAGAGAGTGAAAAATATTATCCCTAGAGTCGAGACTAAGAGGAATGTATAAACCAATGCTTCAATAGATTCGGTCGTGATTTCCAATTATAGCTTTCATACATGTTTGTTTTTTTTATTTTACTCATTGCTACGTATGCAAATATTTCAGGTTGTTATTACTGATGCCTCAGTTACAAATAATGTTTGTAGATGAATGGTACAGGTTTCTATTAACCGAAGTTTTAACCAAATTACTGTAAGCTAAGTAACAGTGTTGCCTTATCTACTTTAACTTGGCAAAAGAATAATACCACTAATATTATTATATTCGGTGCTCATCTATGGCCCCCTTAATAGGGTTATTTAAACGGCAAAGTTAACTTTTAATTCTCTTCATGTCTACAATTTTCTAGCAATAAAGATATTTGTTTTGATTCAATTTTATCTTGTTTTACCTAAGTCTTTTTGGGATTACTTCCATTTATTAACGAGATAAAACACTCAAAACCTCTCCAGATACACATGCTTCCCAGGTAGATGGAGATACCAGTACGAATGTTATTGCTTTGGCTAGTGGCCTCTCATGGACCGATAAGATCTCTTAGCTTCTTTGAATAGCTCGGAGGCAAACCACTTACAGTGGTGTCTAGATGCTGTATGTGAATCTGCCACCTAATTTATTCTTATCTGTTGTCCAGCTCCTCCCTGTACTTTCAGTTTTTATTTTATTATTTTGTAATGAACCAACGCGTAGTGTTTATGTTATATTTTTCATGTGCCTTGCGTTACACCAACTCACATAACAACTAATACATCAGTGGTATTTATCTAAAACTTTGGTTCTTCCTTTAGATTGCAGTGCATTACAAATATGGTTATTCTCCAGGTAATGCAAGGCGTAGCAAACTCTATAGCTTGGATGGAGAGGGAGCAACATGCTTGATTGAGGTCTGTACATTTGTTAAAATGTTAAGGACACTAGTCGTACTAAATGTGTCTATAAGTAAAAAACAATTATTTGAAATGGATGTTGTTGGGACTTAAGATCAAGCGCTTACCACTACACTATAGCTTTTGGAGTGTGGTCACGGGTTTGGCTACTAGCTATAGCTTTTAACATCCTGCCTTTTGAAAAATAAAGTTGTGTCTTTGCTACTAGCTATAGCTTTTGGCATAGTAGTAAGCGCTTGATCTTAACAAATGGAAACATATTCGAGGATTTTTAGCATACAATTAAAGAGTTGCTCTGAAAATTTCCTATACATAATCTGATACAATGTAATTGGATACAGGGTAGCTGGAGCAGCATCTGCATAGGTACGGTGATGGTCTAGGAAGTGGAGTTGCATGGGTCTTAGATCAGATTATCTAAAGGCCTTACATCGTCTATATTTGTGTTCTTCATGGTTATGTCCCTGGGATTTATGTGGGAAAAAGGAATAAGAATATTAACATTAATAAGATTGAAATTTTGGGTGTATTTCATTTCTCGAATTTCACCTGGAATGGATGCAGTCATCCTGTTTGCAATGTAGAGCAAAAGCAAGAAAAGGTTGATAGATTGTGTAACATTTTTGCATTTAAGAGAATTCAATGGTTTATTAAAATGTATGACATTACAAAATGCAGTTAATTAGAAAAGTATTACTGTATGTTTTAGACTAGTAAGTGTACAACTTGTATGAAAAAGAGTAATCTTAGATACGTGATATCTTGAGACTTTGATATATAATGCTCACATTCTTTTCACTAATTTTATCGCCACTACTTTTTAACCGCTCTAATTTCACTTTACCTGCCCACCCTCCACAATAAAAAAGCAATATGAAGCTCCTCTTTCCCATCAATGAATTCACTGGGAGAAGTACAAGTACTCTTACTGGAGCATGGAAATGTTGCAAACTTGATCAAGCACTTCTCTGCATCCAAAAATTCTTGAGTGACTGCAATGGGTATCCAAGGAATATATCTGTTTCATTACGATATTTAGATCTTTTTAAAAACAGTATAGTTGACTTTATAACATATTTCAACTGTCGAAATTAGAATCACTTATTCTATCTTATAACTCAAAGCTAGTTGGTTCATTACCAATGCTCAGTTGGAATTGCAATCAAACACTATAAGTGTTACATCTTAGCTTGACGAATATTTTTGAAGAGCTACCAAATTCAATATTTTTGACGTATACGTTTAAAAGTAATCGAGTGTACTTAAGCGATAATGAATTCAACTGTAATGCCCAACTCCCAATCTCACATTTGAATCAACCAACTTATTCAGGTCCTTCATACAACCATTTTGAGGGAGGAATTCTAAATATCTTTTCTAACCTCCAACCACTCACCTTTTTATATCTCTATACAAACAATTTCTACGGCAGTTTCCCATCATCATTTGTAAACATTATCCAACTTGAAGTTTTAGCATTAAGTAGAAATTCACTAATTGGCCCAGTCCCTCTATTGCGAGCGGACTCCAAAAAATCTGGGGGGTTATCCTTGTATGAAAACACACTATGATCGAACTTACGTTATACAATTTCCATAATTATGATAGAAGCTTTGCTAAACAGTGAAGTGACTTTATACATTTCCCATGCCCCGCCCGTGATAGAAGTTTAGCTGCATAGTGATGTTACATTATACATTTTTCATGCCCCATACTATGGAGTAACCAATAAAAATCAAGTCATGGATGGAGAATTAGTCATGCCCCAGCTTGTGGAGTAAGTAATAGAAATCAAGTCATAGATAGAGAATAATTATGACAAAAGCTTCTTTGTACAGTGAAGTTACGTTATACATATAGAAACATAATGAATTGTATATAACACCAACATGTCTAGGGGCTTAAATAGCCATGCATACAACTGAATCACCACAATCTACATAACAGTTACTAGACCTATTCTAGTGCTACAAAGTAGGAAAGAACTAGTCTATGCATATATCATTCCTTCTTACACCCCCGCAAGATGGTGGATCCATCAGAGACACCCAGCTTGGAGTGGAAGCATTCATAAGAACGATGCAGCAAAGATTTGGTTAGCACATCTGCCACCTGATCCTGCATGCGAATGTAACGTACTTGTAAGGCCCCGCTACTGACAAGGTCATGAAAGAAGAAATAGTCCAGCACAAGGTGTTTCATCCGAGAATGATATACCGGATTTTTGCACACATAGGTGGCACTTATGTTATCACAATATAGGACCGGCATAGCAGACATCCTTATACCCAGATCAAGTAACAAGTTCTGCATCCAAACTACTTCAGCTGCCACATTGGCAAGAGCGTGATACTCGCTTCGGTAGACAACCGTGCAACACCTTTTTGGAGAACCGAACACTAAGAAATAATGTTAGACCCTAGATACACAACATAGCCTGTTGTTGAACGTCCCCCCATCATGGACCCCACCCCAGCTTGAATCTGAAAAAGCGGTGAGAGACAAGGTCGAGCCCCTCCGTAAGAACAATTCATGACATACGGTGCCCTTGAGATAGCGCAAAACACGCATAACACCTTGCCAATGCAATATGGTAGGGGAATTCAAAAACTGCGACAGGCGGTTGACAATAAAACCAACATCGGGCCTAGTAACGGATAGGTACTGCAAAAGCCCAACTGCACGACAGTACAAAGCACCATCGGCCAGTGTCAAACCATCACCACTATGGAGCTCAGCAGCAGAACCAGGAGTGGAAATTGGCTTAGCATCGTGCATGTGAAATTCTGTGAGAATATCAGTGATATATTGAGCTTGAGAGAGAAAGATACTAGCAGGGTCGGAACTAGCTCAACACCAAAAAAATGACGCAAAGGGCCAAGGTCCTTGAGAGAGAACCGAGTTGCCAAAGAGCTAACAAACTGAGTCAGGAATGTAGGAGAACTTCCTGTCAAAATAATATCATCCATGTACACCATAAAATACGCCACAATATCATCGGCTTGATAAATAAAGAGAGAGTAGTCAGCCCACGATCGCCTGAACCCAACCGAGACTAGGAAGGATGACAACTCCATACATCAGGCTCGAGGAGCCTGTTTAAGACTATAAATGACCTTTTTCAAATGACACACATGTTTGAGTCGCAGTGGATCACAGAAACCCAGTGGTTTAGTGGTTTAACAATACTCATCTACATAAGGACTTCTCTTTTATAATTTTTAACTTTATTCTTTTTTGTTCGTGCGGACACTTCTACAACCTTTTACCCATTTGTAGCTATGGTATAACAAATAGCCACACGTAGAGTTGTGTTGACTCATCGCTTACATCATCATTGTTTATACCATAAAAATTATTTTTTAAAGGAAAGTTTTCACTCTTACATTTGTCTCTAAAATAGTGAGATTTCACTGGGATGCTATGTATGCATGTAATTTGTGCTATTTGGTTGAAAAATGGAAAATGGGCTTATATATATGAGTATGTCCATCCCTATTACAAAGTTGATAATTATGTGAAAACATATTCAGGATCAATTCACCCCATGGATGGGCCTTCTAAGTGGCCAAATAGTGACAGACAAAGCTCCATCGACACCACTTTGCTTGTCACTATTAAAGTTGGGAGACCCAAAAAAATCAAGCATAAGATCTGTTGGGGAAATAACTAAGGATGGAGTGTGTATATCTAGGAAGCATGTTACTTTCATTGCACAATATGTAAACAAAAGGGTCATAGTAGTGAGAGGTTCCTTCATAAACCATCATCTTCAAATAGAGCCCAAGTAAAACCTATATAATATGCTAACAAGAGTTAATTCTCAAAATAGTCCTCTGACTATGACCTTTTCTCAAATTGGTTCATTGACTTTTAATTGCACCCAAAGTGATCCTCCGACTATTAAATTTTAAGCCAAAATTGTCCTTTCTTAGTTTTGGTGTTAAGTGGGTGTTTAAATGAGGGGTAAAACTGGAAATTCGGTGTTTTACTATAGTCAGAGAATTACTTTGGGTGAAATTAAAAGTCAAAGGACTAATTTGAACTATCTAGTTAATATTTTAAAAGAAAATTTCATTTTTTATGAACTATCTAGTTAATATAATCTAAAAGTTTCAATTGTGTATTTAAATTAATATAAAATACTTAGAGCTGTTCTAATTAAATTAAAAAGTAATTATGAATATAATATTAATAGCGATGATATACAATTTATTCCAACTATTTTATATTTTATTATAAATATTCTTTTATCATGTTTTGAAGTTTTTTTTTCCGCCTCTACTAAGGCACTGACTAACTTTTTTTGTTCTACCCCTATAAACCAATATTGTATTTTTGTAATAGACAATGATTTTTTTTTTATCTTTCTTATTGGTTTGTATTTAACTTTTGTTTTTTTAATAAGCAATGGTTTATGTATGTTGTCCATTATCATCTCGCCAATTTATAATAATGAAGATGTTGACTTTCTCGACGAACAAAGTTAAAATTATGAATTTTTGTTAAGCTTATACAACTACAAAATACAAAAATTAGAGTAGGGTGTTAAGAAATAAGATATCTATTGTCAGGACGGATTTTTTAAAATTCTCTCTCTAGAATCTCTCTAGGGTTTTTGCCTTCCTACTAGGGTTCCCTAGGTTTTCAACAAGAGACGGTGCTTCAATCCGATTTGATGGCCGGCGATATGCAACGACGGAACGGCGAGGAGGCTGGGGGCTTGCAACGGCAAACAGACGAGCCCATGGAGCCCCCCATGGCGGCGATAGCGGCGGAAGTGGCGGCCGAAATTGCGACGATAACACATCGCTGGGCAGTCTAGGCGTTTGAGGAGGACGCCGCTGCTGTAACACCCCGTGATACGGCCTCTAACCCAAACTAATTATTTAATTACTTACCCTTAAAAGAAAATTAAATCCCCTTAATTAATTAGGAAGTGTCTACCATAGACCATGGACCCTTATCCCTAAAACCAAACCCTTAGTCCTATAAGGAATAGAATTAGTAAATTCCTACCATTAAGAACCTAATTAGGACTCTTAGATATTTATAAGGACATAGGAG